GCTGTGGCCTTCTGTCTCCCCAGCCAGAAGAGTGTGAGAGGCTCCTGCTGAGCCTCCCCTAACTCCAACAGCACTCAGAACATGCCATTCTTCTTTCTGAGGCCACTCTTGCCATCCTAGGTATCAGGTACCCTGGAGACAGCACCCCTCCAAGTATGACCTGGGACACCTTAATTACACTCAGCCACACACTCTGTCACCCATCTCTCAAGACAGCTCTCCTGCCAGGGTCGACCTGCCTATGTCCCCAAAGCCAGAATCTTTCTCTGTCTCAGTCTCTCTCAACAATGTCTCCTGTAGGTCAGGTTGGTCTCCCACTCTCCAAGAAGCTAAGGCTAACCTTCAAGTCCTGATCTTCCTTCCTGCCTGGATGTCAAGACAATGTTTATATGGTGCTGGTATGGAGCTTAGGGCTTTGTGTGCCCTAGGAAAGCCCTCCACTAATTGAGCCCCCGCCTTGGTCTGCCTGTCTTCTTTGAGGCAGAGATTCTGTAGCTAAGGTTGGTTTGGAACATATGATCTTTCTATGTTTTTAATCCCCCACTCTGGAATGGCAGGCCTGTGTCCCCTACAGCCTTCTTACCAGTCAATGAACTTATCTGCAGTGTGCCCTGGGTCTGGTATTGGGTCACTAGTATGGCAATGTGGACATGAGGGAAATGAGTGAGGGAGATATTCAACCACCGCAAAGACACATCCCCACAGTCCCTAGGCCCCTGAAGAGAACTGGCATGCTCAGTACCATTTTAGGTTGGGATTCCCATAACCCCACATGTCAAGGTAGGCATTTGGAATGTGGAAGCAGAGAGGCAGGGAAGCAGCCAGACCCAGACACATCCAGAAGGAGCCAGGCATACAAGAAGCATGGGACAGGGGCCAAGTGGGGACAGTGAGGGCACAGGCCATCTGTGGTAGTAGGGCATCCAGTGTGGAGATGAGAAGAGCCAAAGTCGGGATGGGAAAGGAGCTTAGACTATCACTGGGTCAGATAGGAACGTTTTGGGGACTGATAGAAGATCTGGGGAGAGCAGGGTCCTAAACAATGGTCTTTGCAGGTATTGGGGGAGCTTACAGTAGCAGAGGTCAGATCTATGACAAGCAGGCAAGCTCTGGCTGCAGGGGAAAGGCAGAGCACACACCCTGTGAGTAAGCAGGTTCTGGAACATTTCCTGCTGGTGGCCATGTCAGAGGAGAAGCAGGTGGCAATTGAATTTCAAGGTGTCAGCTCATCAGGAGGAAACTCTCCAATGGGTCAGTCTTGGTTAGGCAAGGCCCTAAGACCACACACCCCAGAATGTCTTTTGCTCCTGCAGTGCCTTTACAGGTTTGCTGCTGTGATCTTTCTCTGGTATTTGGCATGGTGTGAATGTGTGTGGGGAGATCCCCACTGCCTGTAATGTAGTGTTTATCTCATGGAAACATCCTGATCTACTTGTAGTGGGTAGCCATTCCAGCTTGGATCTGGAAGTTCCAACCCCCATTGAGACTCTGGCAACTGTCACGCCAACGAGGCGGGGTGAGGGGACAGCGCACAGAGAGAGCGCTGGCCCATCCAGCTCTTGGGTCCCCAGGCGCCTCCCCTCTCCCCCTAGTCGGTAGAGCATGAGACTCTTAATCTCAGTGTCGTGGGTTCGAGCCCCACGTTGGGTGCCAGCTCCCCTTGCCCCGCCTTGTAGGTGTGACAGTTGCCGGAGTCTCAATGGGGGTTGGAACTTCCAGATCCAAGCTGGAATGGCTACCCACTACATCTACTGGGGATTTTTCTTTGTGGATTGTCATGAAGATGATCCCTGCCTAAACTTTACTGTCTAACTGATAACAATGATGTTAGCTTATATAGAGTTTTGATGAATAAAATATAAATACAGGAAATGTTCTACAGCCAGGGCCTAAGAGTTTCACCTCTGGAGCTGCATAGGCTATAGCTCAAGTTAATGATTAAGAAAAACAACTGAGTCCCAGGAGCCAGGCTGGCTTAAATTCCTTTAGTCTTAATGATGAAAGATGTAGTCACAGTTTTTGGTGTGTATAATTAGCTGAAACAAGGCTTTAAAATAACTTCAGGTTAGATCAAATGTTTTGATAATACTTTTGAGGTAAAAAACCCTAGAAAACAATCTAAAGCTCACAAGAACACATAGATGAAGTCAAAAATGCAAAGCGGCCCAATTGTTACTAGCTGATATACTTTCCTTGCTTGGTTGGTTGATGATCAAATGTGATGGTTTATTCATTATACCCATTTTTGTCCTCAATCTTCTGATATAAAAAAATTATAGATGAGTGGGTATATACCCTAAATATTTAAAGTAGAGCTGATTCTTTTTCATATATAAAAGTTTAGATTTGTGATTCTGTTAAGATTCTTTATAAGATTACCTTTCAAGATAAGTAGTAAAGTAATTGGCCCTTTCTTTGTAACTGCAAAATGCAGCCTGCCAGTAAAAGATCTGACTGAGAAGAATACCTTGCTTGCCCACACAGTTAATCTAAAACAAATTGCTTGGGTATGAATGTATGTGGGTTCTTTGGATAACTTGTTTTTCACCTGTACTATGTAAAATATTTAATCATGTAAGGCATATGGGAACCATGCTGTTTTTTACCATTTGTTTTGTATTCATTGTTATCATTCACTTGAAAAATAGAATGTAACCACATTATAATTCCTACATTGCCTGAGAAACATTGTTGGGGTATAGAAGCTGTAGAAAAAAAAGTATGCAGCAGAAAGAACAGAAGAAAAGAACATAGAAAGAATGGAGAAAAATAGAGAATAAAGAAGGAAACCATCAAGAGAGTGTGTGTGTTTTCCCTTAATCCCAGCAGATAGAAAAGTCTAGTATACGCTGACTCCATTGATTCCCTTTGAGCCCTGTGATGCTTGGAGGCTGGCCCCCTAGGCAGTGATAATGAGACCTGGGAAGCAGGCAGGTCTCATGCACAGAACAGACATCTCCATGGTCCTCTCTAAAATTTCCACAGACCACCTGTCACTAGGCCCCAGGAGCAGAGCCACATGAAGGCACCAGCATCCTGCCTGCTACTTAAATTTGTGAGACAACTGAGTCTTATTCCAGTCCCAGATCTCCCCAGAGAGGGCAGGAAAGCACTGAACCACTTCATAAATAAATAAATAAGCAAATAAATAAAAACAAGGTCTCCCTATGGAGCCCAGATTGGCCTTATGCTCCCAATCCTCCTACCTCAGAGTGATCTGCTTTGAAGGGCAGTTCACTTACAAGCTAAAAGTGAAGATCCATTAAGGCCCTGTGGTTGGAGCCATCTAAGGACCCATGGGTGGTAAGATCATCAGGGATCTAGTGTCAGGATCTGAGTCAGTTTCACTGCCCTTATAGTACAGCCCAAGTCAGCTCCACTGCGTAGGAACCCCCACCAGGGACATCAGACCATGGGACTCTCCATCTCACACAGGCTGCTTTTTGGATCTGATCCTCAGGGTGGGAATGAAGTAGCTACTCAAAAAACACTGCCTCCTTGATGTTGAAAGTGTTCTTAGGTCTAGTCTGCCCTCCTATCAACCCCCCCACCTCCACTGTGGTACACTCAAATCTCTCTCACCTGTGTTCCGGCTCCTACTTAGACCCAAGTAAACACACAGAGGCTTACATTATTTACAAACTATAGGATCTATGGAAGGCCTCTTGTTACCTAGCTTTTATAGCTGAAATTAACCCATTCTATTAAGCTGTATTTTGCCACATGTTCTGTGGCTTACTGGTCTTCTGGCATGTTGTTCCTTGGGAAGCAGGCTAGCATCTCTCTCTCTGCCTTTCTCTTTCCTGTCTCTCCCTGTGGATTTCCCACCTGCCTCTATGCTGCCTTGCCATAGACCAATGCAGCTTTTTTTAATCAACCAATCAGAGTGACACATATTCACAGCATACAGAAAGACACCCCACAGTACCTCCTAGATTTCCAAAGGTAAAGAATTCTTTGTGCGAAACATCTGGAACCACTGTCATTTTAGATTTTGGATAGATTTGAATGTTTGAACATTTACAAATACACATATGCAAGAACTGGGCCTAGGAATACATGACTGTGATCCAAGCACTTGGGGGAAACTGAGGCAGGAGGATGGAAGACCGCAAGTTCCAGGCTAGCCTGTCTCTGCAAAACAAACAAACAAACAACCCCCACAAACCAGTCATGTTGTTGAAGATTAGACACAACTATAATCCAAAAATCTCCTACATTGGCCCTGCCGTTCATCAGTCAGCCCTCCTACCCTCAGAGCCCAAGGAAGACCCCCTGCAACATTTGCACTGTGTCTCTGTTGGTGGCAATCCATTCCATGATGCCACATGAGGAATCTTCCATCTGTGGCATCATGTGAATGGCTCAGAAAGCTCCAGGTTTGGGAGAATTGAGGAGTTTGTTTGGATTTGGAAATGCTCCACTGCTGTGGCAGAGCCCTTGCCCAGCATGTGAGGGTCACAGGTTTGGCTCTAAGACTGACCACAAAAACCCAAACAGTAACAGTAACAAACTCCTGTCAAGTTTCCTCCAAAGTCCACAGGGACCTGGCTCCACCTTCAGGGCCCAGCATGGCCTCTGTGACCTGTGAGAAAGGATTAAACCAGGAGACCCTGCCCTTGTGTCTGCATCAAAGGTATTTTGGTGACAGTCACCACTCAACCACTGGAAACCTATCCACATGGGGGTTCAGTGGCACCCATGTCTGTTGGTTAAATGGCGTGCTGTTCCTCGTGGCTGGCCACCACCCACAGCGGCCATGCTGGCAGAGGAGAGTAGTGATTGGAAGAATCACAGCCATGGTTACCTTTTTAGAGCTTTATTGGTGGGGGAGAGAAGAAGGGAGAGAGGGGGGAAGGAGGTGGAAGAGAGGGAGAGAGGGAGAGAGAGGACAGACAGAAGGAAGGAGCAGAAAGGAAAGAGAGGGACACACAGAGGGCCCACCTGCTTTTTAGGCTGGATCCCATTGCAGGCTGATGATGCAATTAAGGACCAAATCCTTACATCCCAGACTTTTTTTTATTATAAAAAAAGCAGGTAAATGGGAATAGGGGCATTGTTCCTCTCAAAAACTGCTTCCAGCTGACAATTGGATGTCGGTTGCCTCTTGAGTCTTCTAAGGTAGACAGGCAATATGGGATGCTGTCTGTTACCTGTTTGCTCTGGAGACATGTATCCCTCTTGGCTGTGGCTGGGAACTTTCTGTTTGACAAGATGCTGGTGACACAGAAAAAAAAAAAACTTAGAGAGATAAAAGAATCATTATTATTTTATGTTGACATTTATCTGAGGTAGATCCAGCCTGTCACTATGGATTTTGAAACATGTTAAGCTTTATCAGAGACAGATTATTTTAAAGCACCTGTTTCCTTTACTAGTTTGGCATCCAGGAGACAGGTGATCAATTGTTAAAAGCATCTCACAGTAATAGATGTTTACATTAAAGTCTTTTTTTGTAGCACCCAGATGCTTTTGGGTTTGGGGGTGTAAATACCTTTAGTTGTTATAGTTTCTCATGTGATGATCTCTGGACTCCGGTTCTGTGGTGGTCCTGTACCATTAGCTGAACAGTGAGTTAGAACAAGGGAACTGGGAAGAGAAAAGCTTGTGATGCATGAGAGTTTATTTTTTTTTTGGAATTAGGAACAAGTTAAAGATCAGGGCCCTGTCTGTCTGCACATGAGAAACACAGGCAGTGGATCTGGAGTGAAACAATGAGCTCTTATTTTAGGTGGAAATCTTTTTTTTTTTCATTAAGTAACTCTGGAAGTGCAATTAAATCTGGTGAGGTGATAAGGCAGTCCTCTGTACCTGACAATAAAGGAGAGGTGGCATCCCAGAACTCCCAGGACTGAGTCAGTGGCTCTGGTGTCCAGAAGGAAAGAAACAGATCACTTCCCTGCTGTGTTCTGGGTTCCCTGCCATGTCTGTAGCCAAGAATAGGTCTGTTGGAGGTCTTAGCTTAATGTACCCATGCATCTTGGCATGAGTGGGTGGAGTTAAGGTGAGTTAGAGCAAGTCGAAGAAACCATCCAAACCCGCCCATTTGAGCCCGCCCACTGCCAGCGGAAGTCAGACAGAAAAGGTTGCACATGGCAGATGCAGAAGTGGGGAGGGAGAAGGATTTAGAACGTTAGCAGAAAGCTTGGAGATAAAATAACTCTTATTTGCCCGTTCACTGGCAGAATTTCCCACGATGCTGTTATGCGGCCAGGTTTATGCTGTTATGTGGCCAGATTTACTGGTGCCTGCCCCATCCACCAGTGTAGGTGGTAAATGTGTCTGCCCCTTTGTCTCATAGCTGTAGCCAAGAGAAAAATAAAAAATTAAAATAACAAACCAGAATCAGACTGGTCCCTGAGAGTGGAGAGAGATCTACGAATCAGCTCAAGTCACGAGTCGTCTTCATCAAGGGATCGTGAGGGCTGCGACTGTACTGCAGTTGGTCCACCATTGAACCCTAGACACCATTTACCTCCTCATCAGGAGCGAAAATGTGCCTGCTGTTGCCAGTATAGCCCGAGGACAACCCCCAGGGTGTCCGTCACAAAGAATATAGCTTAGACTACAGCCGTGAGAATGGCAGACTCACTGTGGTGATGGTAGTGGTAGTTGTGTGGGGGTCCAGTGGAGGTGGCACTCACAGTCTTGCGGTCTCATTGTCTCCCAGTCTCACTGGATGGGGGAAGAGGTGGCAGGTGGCAGCAGTCACAGCAGGTCCTTGGTGCTTGGTGGTGTATCCGAGTCCGAATGGCACCAATGTTGGTCACCCTGCTTGCTGCTCATGCCTGGCCACCACCTGTGGAGGCCATGCTGATGGAGGAGAGTGCTGGAGGAGAGTCATGAGCCATAGTTACCTTTTTAGGGCTTTATTGGGAGAGGTGGGGGGAAGAGAGGGAGAGAGAGAAGGAGGGAGAGAGAGGACAGACACAAGGAGGGAACAGAAAGGAAGGAGAGATGTACAGAGGGCCCACCCACTTTTTAGGCTGGTACGCCATCGCAGGCTGATGATGTAATTAAGGACAGAATCCTTACAATGTCACCAAGCAAAGCCCAGGGTCGAGAGCCAGCATGGACAGGTAGTGTGGAAAGCATGTCTCCCATTACAGCAGGGGCTGTCCTTGGGCTGACTCTGTCCTCACACTCCAAGGCTTCCAGTGGGTGTGAATTCCAGGAAGCAGCCCAACCTCCAGCCACTTTGTCAAGCTGTAAGCCTTCAGTGTGCCAGGGTAGACTGTGATGAAGTAATGTGTAGGGTAGGTGCCCCTCATGCCTGCTCTGGCTTGTGTGTGCAGATTTTCACTTGAGTGAATCTCTGAAACCTGGTATTTGAGACAGAATCCCATCCAAAGGCAGCCCTCACATTGGTCATGTTCCCATGTCTTTCTTCCACACAGAAGAGACTAGAAAATAGTCAAGGTTTGTTCAGTGTGGACATTTCCCCCTAATTACAGAGCAAATTCCAGGGAGGGGAAGGGCTTTGGATGCATCCTCTGGCATGCTGTGACCTTTTAATCAATCCCTAGGTGTCTCACAAAGTCAAGTTCATATTGCTGAGTTTGTCTCTATACCAGTGAAAAAGGATGGGCACCGGGCTGCCCCCTAACCACATAATGGCAGTACAAGCCTGGGCATTTGCTCCTCAGCTTGTGTGGGTTCCTGCCCTTCCCATTGAGTGTGTTGAGACTCTGCCATTCCTGCATGGAGACACTGCAGGAGCCCAGCCACCATGCTCACTGAATCCATGCTGTCTGTGAGAAACATGACCTCCTCCTGGGCACAGCTACTTCTCATTATGCACAAGCTGCCCAATGGTGCTGACCACAATCAAAGCTGACGAGTATAAGATATACTTCTTTTCCAACCTGTAAGACAGAAAACCAAATCTGAACTGAGGTGAATGAGCAGGGATTCCTTGACTCCTTATGCCAATGAGGGATTCGTCACTGTAGCACTGAGAGCAACACTTGAGATGCACAGGCAGGTGGATCTCTGTGTCCTAAGCCAGCCTAGCCTACATAGCAAGTTTCGAGACAGTCTGGGCTACCTAGTGAGATTCTGTCTCAAAAGACAAAACAAAACAAAACAGTTACCCCCAAAGGTGGGGCATGGAGGTACCCTCTTTTACTGTAGCTCCTGGAGGCAGAGTCAGTTGGATAGCTGTGAGTTTGAGGCTAGCACAGTTTACAGACATAATGAGTTCCAGTACTGTCAGGAATACAGAGAGGGACCCAGTTTCAAAGAACAAGAAGAAGGAAGTTACCAGAAAAGACATAACACATGAACCCACACATGAGAATAGGTTGTGAGGGTGTCAGTAAAAATATAATACTCGACACATTTAAAATCTTCATTTTTGCAGAACCCCAAAACATTTTTGCAGTACCCAAAAAAGCCAAAAGATGGCAGAATATCACCTGGAATTGGAGTTAGGGAGGGTTGGGAGCTACCTTGTGGAATGGAAGCTGGGTCCTCTGCAAGAACAATCATACAGTGAACGTTTTATTAATGTATCCAGTAATGTGTCCAAAGTTGCGTCTTTTATACTTTGAATGACAAGTGCCAGAATATCCCAAGTTCAGTGTTCCTTGCACTGTGCATTCAGCAGATGTTACATTCCTAATGGGGGCAGTTCATTCATTAACCACCTGAGGAATTAGTATGTATACATTGTGCACATGCACACTTTCAGATATTAATGCTTCCTATCTATGTGGAAACATGCTGATGTTCAAGCAACAATATTGATACCAGGCTAACATTTTTATTTTAAATATTGTGATAATCCAGTTTTATATGCTTATTATTTTTTTAAAGATTTATTATTATGTATACAGCATGTATGACTGCAGGCCAGAAGAGGGCACCAGATCTCATTACAGATGGTTGTGAGCCACCATGTGGTTGCTGGGAATTGAACTCAGGACCTCTGGAGGAGCAAGCAGTCAGTGCTCTTAACCTCTGAGCCATCTCTCCAGCCCCTTATATGCTTATTTTTATTTCAATAGTTATCTGAGAAAATTCTGTTCCTGGAAAGATGTCCAAAGTTCAGCCAGAGGTGAGGGCTGCAAGCCTCATGCAGGAGGAATTTGCTCAGACTTAATGGTAAATGTTCACAGAACACATAGACTCCTCTTTTAAATACAGAGAAGGACCGGGCAGACAATTCTGTTGGGATGTTTATAACTGATGTCAATGCAGATCTCTGAAATCTCAGATCTGCTTTGTTTTGTATTTTATTTAGAAAATAAAAGTGCCGGTAACATAAATGACTGTTGTTGCTAGGGCACATCACTCAATAAAGTTAAACACAGATGATGTCTGCATTAGCCCATATTCCAATGGTTTAATAAAATCTCTGGAGATATGGACTATTGAAAGGAGACTTAAAGCAAATGGATACACAAGTTGGTTTTTACTAAAGAGTAGGCACTTAGAAGGGGAATCTTTTGCAGCCAAAGAGATGAGAAGTTATGTTGTGGGTACAGGAGTTTTCTTTGCTAGGCAAATGTACAATCAGAGATAACACATTTACTCATTATCTTTTATTTCTCATCCTATTGAGTCTTAAGGAGAGAAAGGGTAATTCCTGGGCACTGTTTTGAAAGTGAACCATTAACTCCCCACAGATAAAAAGTTTCTAATGGAGCAGAGAGTTAGATTTCTGGCTTTGGGAGGAGGAGATACTCAAGGGCTTCCCCTGTGACCCTGGAGAGTCTCCTTAAAAGAGCACCTGTTGGGGTCCTGGAGACAGCCTACAAAGGACCACCATCCACATATGCAATTGGCAAGAGTATTTTTATTATTCCAATATACTGAGGCCCTCTACCAGCCCAAAGGTAAAATGTCAGTGACCCCGGGGAAGGGATGATGGGTCCTTTTAAGCCTAATTTTGGAGAGAGTCTAGGGAAGTTAACTCATCTTAGGTATAATGGGATTGTGCGAGTGGCATCATTGTTAGTAATGTCTATTGGCTAAAAGTTAGCTGGGGGCTGGCCAGGGTTATAGTCTTTTTCTTTGGACAAGCCTGGATGTTTTTGTCCTCATTCGGTTATTTGTCTAAGCCTGTGTCCTTGCTCTTCCCCTTGTCCCTGTTATCTGGAGCTTTCGTGATTAATGGCTTTTTGTTTTTGAGAAGCAGGAAGTGGGGTCTAGTGAGGCCTAGTTTTTATTCTTATGTGTCTAGATATTGTAGCTGGAGAGCTTTTTTCTCCAGGTCCCTCCAAGTCCCGCCAGTCCCGGAACCCACTCATAAAATAAACACACAGACTCTTACATTATTTAAACTGCTTGGCCATTAGCTTAGGCCTATCATTGCCTAGCTCTTACTTTTATATTTAGCCCATTTCTATTAATTGTTACTATGCCATGTGGCTCGTGGCTTACTGGTACTTTACATCTTCTTTGTCCTGGAGGCGGCTTCAGGCAGTCTCTCCATTCCTCCCTCCTTCCTCAATTCTCCCCTCTGTTAGTCCTGCCTATACTTCCTGTCTGACTATTGGCCAATCAGCATTTGTTTATATAGAGCGATATCCATAGCACTTCCTCTTTTCTTCTTTTTTTAAAAAAAGGAATGTTTTAACTTTAACATAGTAAAATTATATAAAACAAAACAATTATCAAGCAAGAATTACAGTTACAATATTAAAGAAGATATACTATCTGTTTTATATTTATGAGTTTAAGGTTTTATATCTAACTTATCTTTTATCATAACTAAGGAAAATTGTAAGTATCTAGTCTTCAACCACATCAAAGACCTCAGAAGGATATAATACTACCCGAGAAATGGGAGAAGGATGGAAGCAACTTTCGGGAGACTTGCAGGGTAGAGAGAGACAGCAGGCAGCCTGGACAGTCATCCAAAGTACTCTTGTAAAGTTGGGGCATCTGTATCCAGCCCACAGGTCTAGAGTCTCTCAGTCACTTTTTTTTGTGTCCTGTAGAATGTCTGGCATTTTCCTCCACAAAGCAGGAACCTGAAGGACCATTTAGTCAAGCAAAGTTCAGTGGTCACCTTCCTATGGGTCCTGCATGTCCAGTTGATCAAGCAGACCAGGCAAGAACAGTTTCTTGCCCAAATGGCTAATTTTGCCAAGGTGAAGATAAATTCCATATGGAGTGTCTTTGATGCCCATCCTCCTCTCTGAAGTAAATTGGTGCTGCCAGGAGCAGACATGTCTCACTGTCCAGAAAGTCTAAATTGTTAAAACATTTTAAATGCCATATTCTGTAGGTCTTTGAAGTGTTTGAATGTTACCTATCTATCTGAAATAGATCTATGTATACCTAGAAGACTTAACTAACATGGCTATAAATATGATTATCATAGATGACTAATTATTAATCTATTTCTTAATTATCCATTACAATACCATTACAATTTTAAATGAGTCACATAAACATAATACCTCAAACAAGAATAGAAATATATATATAGTATAACAAAATTAAGTTTAAACTTGTATCAATAAACTAAAATCTATAGCAATGTAAAACATTTTAAACAAGTTGTTACTCTTTAAAAGTAGGTTCATTAATCTATCCTTTCATCCTATCATATCTAAACTATTCCCCCCCCATTTTTAAGAAAGAGATTGTATTTATAATCAACCTGCTTTAAATAAAAATATTGGTTTTTCCTTTGTCCCACACCAGAGAGTTCTTCTGATTTGGGACACAAGAATCTCTTAACCATTTTTTTAAGCAATATGCCTGGGTTTAGAGGGGGAGTGAGGCAATTCCATCTCTAAAGCCAGCTTGGTATATTTGGGAATCTGGGCATAGAATCTCTTACTACTCCCTGCTCAAGTGGGGTGCTGTATCTTATGGGGACACAAAGAAAATTTTAGGCTTATGGGGTAGTCCATGAGGCTGTATTGTGTGAGCCAGTTGCCTTGAAACCATTCTGGATGTTAGATTATCTGGGCCATGGTGTCATTGGAGACCTTTCAGGGGGTCTTGGCTGGTCAAACCTGATGTATCTTAGTCTGGAACAAATCCATAGCCTCTGACTTTCTGTGGAAACAAAAGCAGAACCTCTTTTCCAAAGCAATATATCCTTATATCCAAATTTTGAAGTCAAGGTATCTTTAAAATATACATTTTGGCATAACTGAACAGCTTTTACAATCAAATGTTTTTCTTTAGTCACAAATATCAAAGACAACATAATCCAGATTCTCTGTGTGATAGCCATCTTTACGTGGCTTATTACCTTTACTGTTTGTTTAAAGACTTTATTTTTTAAAACTGTTTATATAAATGTATATATTCCTTTTTTTTCTCTTTTAGGCCTATGTACATTTTTACATACATTGTAAACTATTTCAGTTGAAGCAGTCTTATTGTGAAGCTATTGCTTTAAACTGCAGCCTTCTAAGCCTGAAATGGCGCTGTGGCTGCTGGCTCCACAACCTTCAGCTTCCCAACATGGCGGTGGTACATTTTCCGCCAGCTCTGGGCACTATCAAGTCTCAGAAATAGTGGGTCTATGCTTCTGTCAAATCAGCATGGAGCCAAGAAACATTTTTTTTTTTAATATACTAGTAAAGACTAAACCTACCACACAGTGTAATGTGCCGCTGGCCAATGCCTTATTCCCACCATACTGCAGGCCAAGGGCAAACACCAGGAACCCGCCAGTAGCACAAACCCATGTTTGGTGGCATCTAGCTGCCCATATGAGACATAAAGGAGGAACCTGTTTTTGGCTCTGTTTAGAATTGGTTATTAAATATTATCAGGTTTAAGGTGGAAACTCGGGTCTCACATTGGGTGCATGCCATTTGTAGCTGGAGGGCTTTTTTTCTCCCGGTCCCTGCAAGTCCTGCCAGTCCCGGAACCCACTTATAAAATAAACACACAGACTCTTACATTATTTAAACTGCTTGGCCATTAGTTCAGGCCTATCATTTTCTAGCTTTTACTCTTATATTTAGCCCATTTATATTAATTTTTACTTTGCCATGTGGCTCGTGGCTTACTGGTACTTTACATCTTCCTTGTCCTGGTGGGGGCTCCAGGTGGTCTCTCCTTTCCTCCCTCCTTCCTCAATTCTCCCCTCTGTTAGTCCCGCCTATACTTCCTGTCTGGCTATTGGACAATCAGTGTTTATATAGAGCTATATTTACAGCAAAATATTTGTCTGGCCTTTTCATACCTTGTATTAAAGTCAGTTTGAGGTGAGCTAGTTAGCAGGGAGTCAAGGACTATACAATATGGCATCAGCAGTCTCTTTCTGAAACATTCTATTGTATCCTGGAGAGCCCTGGCATCTCCTGTGATGTCACCAGTGTTGTGACAACACCAAATGTCAGTGGGGCATTTGTTCAGTGCCCTTATATTGATCCATACATGTTTGCAAGACTGTGCAGGATGCTTTGGAGAAAGAATGGAGAGCATAAGGAGACCAGAGAGAGGCAGAAGAAAGCTGGCCTTCAGCCTCAGTGTCAGACACTGGGAAATAAGTGGTCAGGGGAAAGGCACAGTGAGTTCTGGGCAGGGGATGGGTGCTTTTTGGAGGATGTGGGGCTCAGGCTGGCTCTTCCAGGAGTGGAGTTCAGGAACTGGCAGCTTCTGGTCAGCAATGGGCCTATCCTGCTTCTCTAGGTTCCTAAAGAGCAGACCCAGAGTCAAGGATTTCTGATGGTTAGTTTGTTAATATGTCAGGGATGGTCAAGGCTGAAGCTGCAGTTCTGGGGGCCCTCTGCTTTCACACTGAGTGGGAAGGAAGCACCGAGGGACTAATGAGGTTTCAGTACCAGCACTGTACTTTACCTCCACTGGAATGATTTACATTGTGTGTCACTAATAACAAGGAGTTAAAAGATCCCTGGCCAAAGCTGGAGATTCTCACACTTTACATTATAGCTATTAGCAGACTAGGAACCACCAAGTACCACTGCATGCCACTGACACCTAAGGCTTCTGAGTTCCTAGCTGTGGGTGGCACAAAGATCTCTTGTGAAGTCTGGGAGCTGTTAGAGGCAATGGACTATGGCAGAGACTGTCCCCTTCCTGGCTCTGGATGTCCTGGGCTGTCAGTGAGGGTGGCTTTGTGAATCTGGTCCATCAACATGAAGGTCTGAAGCATCCAGCAAGTGACGTGGGCTTCTGAACACTACCTGAATGCTTGTGAACAATGCAAATTTTCTCCTGTCTTCTGAAACTACATGGCTAAGGACTTTGAAGCCAAGTTGCATCCTGTGCAGCTGTGAATAAGTCAGAAGAGGCTGTTGTAACCACTCATCCCAATGGCACAGGTTGGGGTGGGTTTGGATATTACAAGATAGGAGTTCTAGAACCTCCCAAGACCCTGAGGATATGTCATCTTGATAGACCCAGTGCAAGCCACAGCTACCACCTCTGACTTCACCAACTTCTCAACTTGAAAGATCTTCCTTAGCTGAAAAGCCTTCAGCTGAATGGGGTGTCCTCGGCCAAAAGCACATCCAGCTGAAAAACCTCTAGGAGCCTCTACTTCCTGTCTCCTCATACCTTATATACCTTTCTCTGCCTAGCTATCATTTCCTGGGATTAAAGGCATGTGAGCTTCCCAGTACTGGGATTAAAGGTGTATCCAAACACTGCCTGTCTCTGTTTCCTCTTCTAAACTGAGTCAATCTCATGTAGTCCGGGGAGACTTTGAAGTCACAGAGATCTAGACAGGTTTCTGCCTCCCAAGTGTTAGTATTAAAGGTGTGTGCCACCACTGTTTGGCCCCTATGTTTAATCTGGTGGCTTGTTCTCTGATCTTCGGGCAAATTTGTTAGGGTACACAGTATATCACCACAAGGATCAGCAGCCAACTTCCTTCTGGACATCAGTGAGACTGACCTTAATACATGACAGTCAATATCAAGCCCCATCTGGACATGACAAGCCCTGTCTGCTGAAGAAGCTGCCCCCAAACCACATTGGCATTTCTTTCATCCTCTGAGAGGTGGGTGAACATCTAGTCAGCATCAAGAATAGTGGCAACCACATTACTGGAATCCCATATCCATTTTCATGATCCAGTCTGAAACTGACAATTTGTGCTGCATCCAAGTCTATGTGACCAAGGCCTGTCAGAAGGCCAGACTTTAGAGATATCTGACTTTATTGTGGACACAAGAGATGCAGGGTTATGGTGGCATATTCTTGGTGGTAGAATGATCCAGCGATGTGGACATCTAGATAGACTACCTGGAGGACATTGTCCACAAGGTATCCTACATCCCCACTGAGCCTGGGATCTATATCATTTCCAACAAATGTGTGGATGAGAATGTGCCTAGAAGTCCATTCACTGTGAAGATCAGTGGTGAGGGAAGAGTCAAAGAGAGCATCACTTGGACCAGCCAGTCTCTATCTATGGCCATAGTTGGCAGTATCTGTGATGTGAACTTGAAGATTCCAGAAAACAGCAGTGACATATCTACCCATGTCACCAGCCCCTTGGTCCATGTCACCCAAGGTGTCTGTGGGGAAGAACTCTCACTGTGTCCAATTTGTTTCCCAGGAAATGGGCATTCACACAATCAGTGTAAAATACCATAGCCAGAGTGTAACATCAAACTCCTTCCAGTTCACACAGGCCCTTTGGGGAAGGAGGTGCTCACAAGATCCAGGCAGGAGGCCCTGGCCTGGAGAGGGGAGAAATAGGCATCCCAGCCGAGTTCAGCATCAGGACCTGAGAAGCAGATGCTGAAGGCCTCTCCATTGTTGTTAAGGGCCTAGAAAGGCAGAGATTACATTTGATGACCATAAAAATGGGTCATGTGGTATTTCTTATATTATCCAAGAGCCTGGTAACTATGACATGTCTATAAAGTTTAACCATGAGGCCATCACCTGATGCTGATCAACACATCCAGATGACACTCACTGCCTCACTGTTATGAACCATTGGAATGAGGATTAAAATTTAATCAGCTAGCATCCTTTGCTATAAGGTTGAATGGTGCAAAAAGAAAGCTTGATGCAAAGGTGCATAAGCCCTCAGGAGCAGTGGAGGAATGCCATGTGTCTTAACTAGTGCGAGACATATGGTTGGGATCCCTTTCAAAGTGCATGTTGGGGGGCCTGGCCAAACAGGGAATCCTGATCTAGTGTCAGCCTAAGGCACTGGGCTTGAGGAGGGTACTGCAGGTATCCAATCAGAATTCTTCATCAAATCCCCTTAAGCAGACCCAGAGACATTATCTGTTGCCATTGAAGAACCACCAAGGTCAAAGTGGATTGCCCAGGAACCCCAGAAGAGTACAAAGTTATGTAGACTCCCGTTGCCCCTGGAAACTACCTGATTGGTGTCAAATATGGTGGGCCCAGTCCATTCAAGGCCAAGTTGACAGGCCAGTGTCTTGCCAGCCCAGGCTCAGTCAACAAGACCTCATCCATCTTGGTGGAGCCAGTGACCAGGTCTTCAAAAGAAACTGGCTATAGCATCATGCCCAAGTCATTCTCAGATACCAGTAAGTTGCCATGCTTTGTGGGTTATATTAGAGCTCATTCCAGTCTTCCCAGCCCTCTACCTAATGGTAATACGTCAGCTGATAAATTGACACTAATGGTCACCTTATCTCAAGTATATTTGTCTCAACAGTCACATGCCCTTCATCATCAGAATAGCAGAAGTTTAAGAAAACAATTTGGCCTTATCAAGGAAGTTGCTTGTAAGATTGTTAAGCAATGTGATGTGTGCTCACAGTATTTTCCCATGCCTTCACTTAGGGATAAATCCTTGAGGCCTTCCTCCTAATCATTGATGGTAAATGGATGTTACTTATATTGAGGAATTTGGCAAAGTAAATTATGTGCATGTGGCAATTGATACCTATTCAGAATTTTTGATAGCCACTGTACAAACTGGAGAATCCATCAAGCACATGATAGCTCATTGCTTAAAATGTTTTTTCATATATGGGGATTCCTAAAATTATAAAAACAGATAGTGGATTCAGACAAATTAGTAAAGCATGTCAGCAATTTTGTTCCAAATGTAAAATTGAGCATAAAACAGGCATTTCTTATAATCCTCAAGGACAAAGCATCATTTAGTGAGCCCAAAGCAATCTCAAGACACAGCTTCAGAAAACAAAGAGGGGGAGTCATAACCTCAGTCAATGCATAAAGCATTGAATCATGCCCTCTTCATTTTGAATTTTTTGAATGTAGATGTCCATGAGCAATCTGCTGTGGAAAGATTTTGGCATGATGGCACCAGAGTGACTTTTGCTCAGGTGAAATAAAAGGATCCTTGCACTGGATTATGGAAGGATCCCAACCCTGTTTTGATATGGGGTCAAGGGCATGTTTGTGTTTTTTCACAGGATGAAAATGAGACTCAATGGCTGCCTGAGCACTTGGTGCAGTGTGTAGAACAGAGGAATGCTGGCCCTGATGACACTGTAGCTGCTGATGCTCCCCCAGAGGAACTGGAGTGAGAGTTGCTGAACCTGTGTTCCTGATCCTCCAATGTTACATCCTGCATTCTGGGAATGGAGAGAATGGTTCCCAGGCTCCTGATTTCCCAGGCCTCTGTGAGTTCTAATTATTCTGAATCTGGCCATGGAATGCCTATCTGTTTGTGAGTGGGTGTTTGGTCATTTATCTATATTTATCTACTATATCTTGGACGTACAGGTCACCTTTGCTAGCACAGTGTTAATCTGTTATTGCCCAGATGACATAGGAGACCTGGTGAACAGCTGCTTCAGATATTTCCCCCATGTGGGATAGAGACTCATTTGAGCAATTGAACACTATTAGAAGTAATGTGCTAGATTGGTCAGGAAATCAAATTGGAGAAACTGAAGAGGTCCCCTAAACTGATGAGGAGGAGTTGAAAGAAAGGTTTTGTTGCTAATATTTGGTACTCAGGGAGTGGGGCAAAAACATTTTCTTGTCCCTTGAATGGATCAAGGTTATGGTCATTGTAATTTAACCAATTGCCTATTCATTGAAGCACACCTCTATCTGTTATGGAATTTCAACTTCCCACTCAAGTTCCAGTTGCCATCTATTACTCCAGTAGCATTCTATTTCTAGAGAACAGTCCACTGGTGGGTCAGGTATTGCACTTATCTGTTATGTGAGATTAGGCAATCTGGAGGTCTTTGTTTTTATGAGACCACCGGGGGTTATTGAATTGAAAGGAATTGTTACTATAAAGGGATTTGCATGTGCTTGATTTTCATATACAAATGCATTGAACTGGGGTGTGAAATTTTAAAAGTGTGGTATAATAACTAATATATTCATGATGAATAAAATATTTTAAGAATTCTATGCTTAGTTCTGCACAAACTTTCTATACTAGTCAACATTGCAGTGAAAGAGACAAATGGAAGAATTAAAGTGTATCTTGTCCAATAGCTAGGAGAATGCTCTCACCTGATTTTGGTACCAGAGTGCCGGGGAGGCAGAGGTGAGCAGACCTTCCTGAAAGAAAGTTCTTGCCTTCCTACTTGATTTCAATTGTGGCAAATGCTTAACATTTGTGCATGTGTACAGAAAATCACCTTGATATCTTATGAAGTCAGTTTTATTTAGATACCATTGCACCAGTGGCTGTGTCTTGGAGGGCTAGTCAATACTGTGGATCACAGTTTGTGAGAACTGAATACATGGTGTATAATGAAATAAACCGATTTATAAACACATTTTGTTAAAACAAGAAAATGTTTCCCCATCTCTTTAGATTACCTCCCTCCCATTGTAAAAGCATACACATAGCTGAGAATCAGAGCCTGTGTTTCTTTTGAAAATATAATCTCATTTTTCAATCTTTATGTCTATGCATGTCAGTGTGTGTGTGTGTGTGTGTGTGTGTGTGTGTGTGTGTGTGTGTGTGTG